GATCTTCATGGCTTGGAGATCGAAAACGGCGTCCGCAAGAGGGTATTAAATCTGGTATGTACGCCTTCGGAATACCCAACAATCAAAACGTAGTCGTACCAACTTGTATTCCTAAGAGCTCGCTGGTCCCATGATCGCCTGATTGACAAGAGATTGCTTCGCAACGAACTACTGTGGCAAGACGACTCACGCGCCGGTCAAGTGAAAGAAGGTACCTGTACCCGCACCACACATGTGAGAGGGATTTCGCTCGGTTCGAGATGCTCCCAAAAATTTACCGTGGTGGACAAACCAGGCGTACAACCTCGACCCCACTGAACGGTTCATGGGAAGCTATGTATGCAGGCGCACATCGGTGATAGTTTCCGGCACTCGGTTAGACAAAGCACCAGAAAAGTCATCTGAGTGTACGCAAACGGACGATTGCTAACCTGTACTTCTCGAACAGGTTGGGGCTAGAGAACTGGATCGAATCCAATCGGCATTCCGCGCGTCTGGTGGGCGGCTTGAAAGGCAAGCCTTCATTGAGGCACTACTGTGGGCCGCATGTGGAGACGATGGTGATCTTAGAGAGGAAGGGAAGGGCAATCTCGTAATCACCGTCACCGTCGGTCCCCACATAAGAGAGACGCCGACGACGACGGCCATGAGGGGGCGAACGCCCTCTGGCCTGTCTCGTTGCTTGCTAGACAATTCCCTCAATGATATTATTGTGTAAAAATCGCCACTGAACGTCTTGACCAGTTCAGTCATGCTTCCCTGATACTGCTGATAGACGGCCGTGTCAGACAGCCGTCTAACTGCAATATGTTGGATCTCACTGCTTCTTGAGCGCTCTTTCTTCTTTCAGTTAGTGCCATCGTACGTTGAAACGGCCACTCATGTCCGGAGGGTTTTTGTCTAGTAGCAGTTGCAAACGAATGCAAGATTCGGTCCTCACTCACGTCTGCCCATCTGAACCTGTGTGTTTAAGTCAGTATGGTATCCACCGAAGCCTCCCCGTGTGATGGCGTCAAATGAAGTAGGTGATGTTCGAGTGTTTCGACAGAAACATGTCGAGGCTGCTGCCTTTCTCAACAAGAAACGCCGCTGTTTCTCTCCATCTCAGCAGAAGGAACTGGTGAGGACTGCTGTTGTGATGGTGGTGATAAACAGGCTTCAGTTGCACCAGCGGCACCATTGGTGCCAGTAGCACCAGCTGGCTGGTGCGACGACGGCTGTGTTGGTCGTGAAAAACCGTCAGCCAAAACAACTCCAGCAGCAGCAGCAGCAGCAGAATTGGAAGCAGCCGAAGCAGTAGCTAGCACATCACCAGGTGCTGGAGCGGGTGCCTGCATCGCAGACGCCAATAATAGCGGTCATGTCGCGGTGCCTCCGGCTCATCGCAACACTCCCAGGGGGTTCCGTGCCCGTTGGTCCAACGAGGCGGTTCCCCACTCTGAACGCACGCAGTCAAAGCTCGCGGCTTCCGCTCCGGACCAGATGGTAAGACAGCTTTTGGATGGATCAATAGTGTTCGGAGGCGGAATTAACCTTGTCGTCCGGAGCCCTCGTGGAGGGAACGGGCTTGGCGCAAAATAAACACATGCTTCCTCTGCGCCGAGTCATCCACTCCCGATCCAACGCACACAATACGATACGAGTGGACTTGCTACAGATAGTCAGCCTCCGGCACGAAGGGTAAGCGCTTGAAGGCGTCCGCCCCATATGAAAGACTTCCCCACTGTTTCACAATACCAGTAACAGTAGACCCAGTAAGGCCGTTTCGTCAGAACCCTCTGTCATTCAGCACAGCGTGACCCTTGTGCCCTTACCACAAACGCCGCACGACGGGTAGATTTGCACGACTTATGGAAGGGGCTGACTTACTTTTCTACACTCTCCACACGACATTCTCCGTATTCCGCACTCACACGGAACAGGTGGTCTTGTACGGGCGTCTTTTTGAACTAATTAGCCTTCAGCACGGGGACTGGACCACCTGGGACGAGCTCAGCAACTTCTTGCTCTTCGACGAGTGAGGAGAGTCAGTTTCGTTTGATGTCCAGCTTGTCTTCGCAATCTTTGTATTTTTTCGGACGTCTTCTTCACGTACACATCCATGCGTGTGCTTGTAGGTGTGAGTCGTAAAAGGGAAACATCGTCTGGCAGACCAGAATATGGAAAACAAACTCTGGCAATCGTCTAAGGTAAGGAACCGCTGCCAACATCAGTTTTCGAACGACTAATGTTTGGGGCGGAAACCCCTTCCCCCTCCCGCCCAAAATGACGTTTCTCGCATGAATGGTAGGTTTTCCCGGTGGGTGAAGATCCGTTGAATGTTCCGTGTCTCGGTTTTGAAGGCCTGTGAAGGGTTCGTGGCTGCACGTATACCAAGCCCTTGCATGCGTGATCACGGGAACCCCCCAGCCCTGTCACTCTGATACCAACTTGTTTGCGTGGTGTGCGCGTGGAATTCCAGTGATAGCGGCCGCACCGGAGGACACGGAGGCCCTCGCCAGTACCTGCCGGCCGGGTCCGTCCACATTCCGAAGGTGTGAACAGCAGAGGGCAGGGGAGTGCGTTGGAAGGGGCTTCGTTAGCATGGTTGTGAATACACACCCGACAGACGGCTTGTCGCGGACCCTGACTCTGACCGCTACTGCGAACCTGTGCTGTGGGGCTCCGGCGGATGAAACATTCCTCGGTGGTGGCGGCATGTTCTACGTCTACACGTGTACACAACATCGCCTTGCCTGAGCCGAAACACAACCCCGAATCCTGACTAGTCCTATCCGTTCTGACCCTGGGACGTGTTTGCCACGATGTTTTTTCTCTCCCCGTTTCTCAATATTCAACGGGACACCTAGATGAGAGCAACTCGGGCACGGTCTTTATGCTTGCAATGCACAGGTTGTCGACCGCCAACCACAACTCGAGCCGAACGTATCACTTGTCTCCTTGCTCCGTGGACGTACAATTTACGAAGGACTATGTGTTACAGTAGTTCTCTCCCCCTGGAAAAGGTGCGTTGGCAACAACAGCAGATTTGGAACGAAGTTGGTATACGACAATCGTTAGCCCCCTCCCGCCTCCCTTCCGGGGGGACCTTCGTTATTAGCAACAGAGGTGAGTGGCTCAACCCCCGTCTTGTGACGCATTTTCGTCCCGTTGAAGATCTTGGGCTTGGAGAGCGCCATTGTGTTCAATGTGTCGAGAGCGGGCCAAGACCTGGATGTGGTGGCGCTTTTGGTTCGCCACAGCGCTGCTTTCATCGTCGCCGGCCTCGATGGTATGATTCGGGTGTGCGGTGTATGTGCGATCAAGACGCTGCGTGTCTGCGTGTCTCCTTCTGCTGCTGCCGCTGCTGCTGCTGCTGCTGTAAAAAGGGCACGTAGAGGACCACGCTAGTCTTCTCGATTTTTTTTTGCTGCGAGCACTTGTTTCGAACTGCCGGTAGTGCTTTCAGCTGAACTGTTCTAAAACGTCCGCCTTGGAAGGAACGGTCATGTTCTGCGTTATCCCACGACAAGTCGTTCCACCTCCTCCTAGTTTACAGCATATCTTGTATGGCCTCAGCGATGTTGTTTCTGCTCGTAAATGCTCCGCCGGTCGCCCGATTTCGTGTTCACCGGCTACAGGCGGTCAAGAATATCGTCCAAATGGACGTGTGAATATCATCAACACACGATCTTCTAACGTAAAGCACGCGAACATTGTTCTAATAGTAGTCTAGATGCCCAAAGACACTCCACCTCAGCGAAGGCGTTTGATGTTCGCTTTCCCAGGCCGTACTTCCCCCTCGGAGCGTGGGAATGGGGCGTGCGGGGCTTACGGTGCTACATACGGAACGACGATATTCTTGCCGACATTCCCCTCCCTTAGGCCTTGTTGCCTCTCACATTTGTCTCCAGGTCTTTCTTCCTCGTCCCCCAGCTCCCCCCCCGTGCGAGTAAAGGGGCACTCGGGGCAGGTGCTGGCCATGGCATTTGTGGCGGCGCCCTTCAACGTGCTTGTCACTTCGGGCGAGAAGGATCGGATGCTAAGGTACATGGGTCCGCGGGTCTGTCTGCTACGGCCACCACCGCGTATCGTGCAACCATCGAGGGAAAGAATCGGGTAAAGAAAACACCAAAGATAATCTTAGGGTATATAAGCCAGGCCTGTCAACCCGCGCCGCCGATCAGTCTGCTGGGCTACATGGGACGGACGCGGACGACCATACCGCTACATCAACAGTGGTACAAGAGAGAACCGTGAGATGTGCAGCGCCAGTCCAAACCACAGCACGAGGTTTGGGTTTGAGGGGGCTTCGTTCATGGCCACACCACGGCAGCTTGAGATAGATGTACGAGGCCAGTCATGTACCTCCACGGGCGTGGGTACCGAGACTAAGGTCAAGGGGAGAAACCCGCCAAAGTCTCAGCGTCAAACCGTACCCTGACGTCGAGGGACGACGATATGAAAATGATCACATTTTGTACCATATGTGGTACATGCTCACATTTTCAAAAGGTAAACTCAGGGTCAACCGGGTTGTTGGTCAATGCCACGGACTGTGCGAGTCAAATACCGCCGGAAACAAGCTGGTGAGGACCACATATGCCGCATTCGAGATGTAACGGGCTGGTCATTAGAGACTCTGAGACATCGAGCGGTTAAACGAGCGCACAGACGATACCAAACACGGGACGAAGGGAGCTTCGGACTTGTTGATGATGATGCTTTTTTTGCCGTACACCTCGTTCGCGTCAGCAAGAGTGTAAAGTTCTATGAAAAAGTGATTCTAGCGCCTCGATGTTTGCCCATTATTTATAATACTTATCTCAGCACCTGCAAAGCATCGAGGGGGCTACTGCAACAAGCGCATCGCCATCGGTATTGAAAATCATTGGAACGATAATCCCCGCTGATACATCTTCCTGTCTATGCTCTTTCCTGTGTTGTCCTGCCCTGCATGGCCCTGCCGGTCTGATGGCAACTAAATCGAACAAAAAATAAAATCAACCAGATGCTGGGACATGATTCTGAAGCCCAAGCTCGATGCCGTCGTCGGGCCCGCTGGGAAGAGGCAGGCGAAGGCCTGCGAGCCGCAGGTGATGCTGAAGTGGCTGCGCTCTCCCCCGTCAGGTACCCCGGTCTAGCTGTGCCCTGTCCATTGACGTCTGACCGTGATTGACTGTAAGGTGGATGAGGTTGCCATGTCTGTCAAACCCTCGTGTATGTGAGTAAGCGAATGTGAGCTGGCGAATGTGAGCGACATCATCGTCGGTGAATGCTGTCGTAATCGACCACTTGAAAAATGCCGCGCCGGTTCCGGGTTGAAAAATCAACATGTCGAAGAAGAGGGGTGAAGGGGCATGCTATAAGCTTACCGAGTTGCTTCGAGCAAGGAACGACGGAAACGAGAACCGACGAAACAACCACCTGAAATCAACGCCCATACACCTTAAGGGGTCCGAAAGATAATCGCGGCAAAGTTTTCCAGCGGCTAGTTTCCAACGTCCTGAACGCTACGTAAGCACGCTTTTCGACAGAAATCCGCCAGAACCAACAGGGCGTAGTAGAGGCCTGGACAATGCTGATGAGAATGTAACCCCACTGCCACCAACGCCACCAGATCAACCACTCTCGGGAGTGAAAGTAGGATTGTAACTTCTCCCCGAACTCCTCATCCCGGGAGACGTAACGACATCGATCTTTCGACCGTCGAAGAGAGAACCTCTCGAAGAGTTCGACAGCTCGGTGTCCAGTCCGCCAGGAAATACATCGAACCGTTTCAGACAGCAATCACCACCGTGCTTAAATGTGACCCACTCCACTTTCGGTTGAACTCTGGTGTCCTCGGCAGGTGGTGTTGACCCTCCGCGCGGCAGTGGCGGTGGTAGCAGTAATGGCGGTGATAGCAAAGGGAATGGTGCCGCGGATGTTTCCGCCATCCTCGTGTCTGGTGGTGCCGGGGGCACGGTGAACATTTGGCAGGTAGGGGTGGGCGGGAAGGTCAGGCTATTCAGTCTGGGTTTATGCAACAGGGTACCATCTACTGCACTCTGAGGAAGTCGATTTGCCCAGCAAAAACTTAATGGGTGTTTGTATTGGTTCAAATCACTGGCAATTATTCCTGTTCTAGCCTCACGCAGGGAATCAAGGACGTGTATAGCTAGATACCGTGGCAACCTAGAAGCAATAACGAGTGCCCACAAATACCGACCTGTTCTTGCTTTGGGTCAGGAGGGTCGAGTATTTCAACGCAACAGTTGGTGCTTGTGCTTTTTTTAGCCGTTCGGTGATTGGGGTGGGCACTGTATGTTCTGTGTGTCTCGTGGGGTTGTTGGTCCAATGACGGGTAGAGGGTGGTACGCGCGTATCAACGCATTTTGGTGCGGGCGAGCCCGACTGCCGGGAGATCGACAAAATTGAGCAATCTACTCCGGAGGCACCCAACACTAGGCCGCATAGCATGCATCCAACAATTACACCCTTCGGCCCAAAAACTCACCGCCTTTCCCCAAAAATAGCTCACGGCGAAGCACTTGGACATCCTCAACACTCTCCCGGGGCATACCGGAGCTGTCACCTCGGCGTGCGTCCTGCCACACCCGGAGGTTTTCGTGACTGGCTCGTTGGATGCTGACATCCGAGTGTGGGCAACGAAGACCTACAAGGCATAAGACCAGCACCTGCTGGTCATGTAGCATGGAACATTAGTCATCGTCGTCGTTGCTGTTGATGCTGTTATTGTTGTTGATGATGCTGTTTTTGCCGATGTTTTGTCGACGGTGCTGCTGAGCGTGCGTAGCCTCCTTCACATTGTCAACTGTCCCCGACATTTTTTGTCAGCGCCACGCAAAACGTTCCCGAAGTGATCCTCAAAGTGAAACGAAGGTGGTCAGCCATGTATTGTCAACAGAACCTACAAGGCTGTCAGATACTGGCGAAGGGCTGCACAGGTATTCCTGTCCACAACGGTGCATACCTCTTTCGTAATGGAACCTCGACGTCTAGCGCCCGAAATATGTCACGTCTCAAGTTGACAGCGTTTCCAGCGGAGACAGCGTGCGTACGTACGTACATACATGCCTTATATCGGTATATTTTGTTATTTGACATCCACATATGTATACATTACCGCTTGATGCCCCCCTCCCTTTTGCCGCACCTCCTCCTTGCCGCCTGACCCAAAAAACAGTTCACGCGCGTCATGAAGGGTCACAGCCGAGGAGTCGTCACCATCGACTATAGCCCCACTCAGCGGGTCATAGTCAGCGCGGGGTTCGACCACGACATCCTCGTCTGGAGCCCTGTTGCAGGACAGGTGTGTAAGTGAGCTTTCGTGAGTGGTTGGGCTGAAGAACGACGCGTTGTATTCTCAGGGAATAAATTCTCTGTCGTTGCGCACGCCCTGAACTCGCTAATGCCACGCTCAAGACGCCCCATGCATGAGCATGCCGCAATCCATTGGTAGGGCATCTGCTAATAGTTTCCTTGTTAAACACCATGCCATGCATGTTGGTCCATGTCTCCCAGGTCATATGTCGGCTGTCGGGCCATGGGTGCTCCCTTGTTGCGGCCAGGGTCAGCGCCGTTTCGTCGGACGTCATCTCCGTCTCCATGGACGGCATAATCAAGGTCAGTGACCACACGAAAACATAAAAATGCGCCTCTGATCCCCAAGAAACCGCTTGTAGGGTAACTTGGCTGGGTAGAATACATGCATACTCACGTCCTTGTTCCAATTGAAGCACGTTTTTTTATTGGTCTATTTTTGTTCTTTTTCTAATTTTCGGGGTTCCTCAAATGAGTTGTCGTGTTGCAACTTACACGTTTCACTTACGTATGCTCGTGTCTATTGAAATATGTCATGTTCCGCACTTTCGTTACCTCACAAAGAGTATTTCGAATACTACCATAGTCGAAACATGGATTTGCCGTCGAAGTTATGAGTAGATGAAGGTGGTCACAGAATTCTTCTGACTGACCCTTTTGCGTGGTTGTCCAGATTTTCCCGCGGTTCGTTTGTCAAAATCTTTCCTCGCGCAATCTAACTCTCCCTCTCGGGGGTCGGCATTAGAACAGGTTCTCATTGCCCGTTGTCTTCCTCTGCCGTCCTTTATTGCTTGCAGGTGTGGGACTCGGCCAACTTCAAGTGCGTTCAGACGATTCGCTCCCACCGTCAGCAGGTATTTGCGCGTGTGTGAGAGAGAGGAAGCATGGCAGGGAGACAGAGAGACAGAGAGACAGAGAATGTCGTCACAACAATGTAATGTCTAGACTAGAGAGCTCTCATAAGTAAAACTGAACGGCCCTACAAATAGTAGCACGCCCACAGGCAGTCCGCATGCGGCACTAGTGCCACGTCCATTCCTGAGCAAACAGACTCCACGTAGGCTTCATCGGTATCACCTTGTTTCCGCCAACATACATTGATCATGATCGGCGGATATACTGCCGATTCGACGAGAAGAGGGCCGTGCAAAGAAATCATGAAAATTCGTTACCAATCGAACCTGGTGCACCATCCGCCTACCCTTACTTTAGGAGAAGAGACCGGGGGCTTCGTGGTCATCCGCCGGTAGAGGTGGCGAGGGCGCGGGGCACGGAGGCGGCGGCGGGAAGATGCAACGGGGAAAAGCCAGCCAGGTATCCTAGATATCAATGGAAACGACCAGATGCGTTTCGTTCACCGAAATGCCGAGCGATATTCACACAAGAGATAAACAGTGCTAACCATGGTACAACGAGGTACTCATGTGTGGTATATACAATGACCGTAGTGTCTTGACATTGTGAAGCGTGTAGATTATGACGGTTGTATGACAGCAGAGATCCTTCACGTACACCTTGTCGACGAACCTCCTTTGCACGAACACCAACGGAACAGGAGGGAGGTGGGGGGGGGGCAGCAAGCCCCCGTGAGCCTCATGACTGTCGCCTTGCGTTGAAAACCGTTCGTATGAAGAACCGACTTGCATGTGCATACTCCTAGGCACACACAACCTTCATTCCGACACACGGTGACACGTTTTTCCCACTCTAGTACACAAATCCCTCTCCCTCCCTCCCCTCCCGAAACTAATCAAAATGACGGCAGGACGGTGGGGGGACGAAAACGAAAAGCAAGGCCTCGTTCGCACCCGGCGGAGATGGCGTTGTGGACCTTTTCCTGTTCGAGGGTGAGACCAGCCGTCTTCTCGTGTGTCGCGGCACCGAGCTGGACTTTCACGACAACGGTCGGGCGGGAGAGAAGGACGTCACCGACAGCAATCAGGTGACCGAGCTGACTGCTATCACGCCTACATCTTTCTTACATTCCTTCGAGTCTGTGCCACGTTTGTTCCTAATGACAAACAACAACAACGGGCGGGCGGGCGGGCGGGCGGCTAGGACCTTCCCGGTGGCGGGCAAACAGTCAAGTATTGATAGCTGCCAATCTGGTATATATTGTGTTGATTCGTGAAGAGCGTTTATCGTCGTTTCCCATTCAGGGCACGATGATCACGTTAGATAACAAAAAGAACGCAGCGACAGAGGCGGTTTCAACCATGGGCATGTTAGGTTGCTAATCTTCACTGACAAGTTTTTTTGTGCACACGCTTTCTGCAAGAATTATATTGTGTAAAAAAGGTCACCGAAGGACTGATTGATCTCGTTGTCACCGCTTTAAAGTGACTACCTGCTCGACATCACGTATGTGTTTGTTTCCTCGAGAATCGAATTTAAGACGAGCGTGTGTCGTTCCATGTCATGCTGGTCTGCCTGTCTCGTGCTTCGTTTGTCTTGAGCACAGACGATAGACGTCATGTACCACTCGGAGACGGGAACTTTCGCTTCCGTGGCGTCCACAGGGATCAAGCTTTGGGACGCTAGAACAGGTGGGGTTGGGTCGCTAGGTTGGTGTGTGTGTTTTTATTATTAGCATCGACCGCGCTAACCGTCTGACCAATGAAAAGACGTCAGTCTCAGTGTGTGTGTTGAACCCGCAACGACCTTCTAGCATTCGCAGCGAAAAGTCAAAACAACAGTCACGACCTGGCCTGAAGCCAAGCCCCCGACACGCGTGGAACCCATCCACGATAGGCTTTCTTCTTTCGACAACATCACCGCGCTCTCGAACAACATAACGCCCAGGCAAATCAGAAACAGAGAGAGAGGTGTTGCTCAGAGGAGCGCATGCGGCCTTCCTCCTCAGCAAAACTAATAGAACTACAAACAAAATACCTACCACCACAGGTATGGATCACCACGTGGCACAACCAAGGTTGTTCGTTCTTGTTTAAAAGCACAGTTGAAAAACTCCACCCTCACGACGTACGTTTCACGACAACAGGAAGGTTGACGAGAGTCTATGGCATTCCTCCTCAGCCCTCCACATTTTCCTCCGGCGGTCGATGGGCCAAGCGAAGGCGGGCAGGGCTAGGAGCGGCGGGGGGCGTAGATTTCTCCCGCGTCGTCGATGTTATTGGCGACGGCGGCGACGGCGGCGACGCCGAAGGCACCGGCCGTTATCGCCTGGTGGAGGCAGGCGAAGCTGAAGAGATCACAAGGTTGGTTTGATTAGAAATTATGTTTGATACGAGGTTTGTTTGATGGAGGACACGCAACTAGCAGGGGCGAGGGAAGGGGAACAAATTATACGGCTCTGCTCAGCAGTGTGGTGGGAACTGTGTCGATGGTCTCCGCTTGGTATGACGTGCACAAGCATACAACTCCCTGCCGCGACTTCGAAAATTTTGTTTTTCGTATCTATCCCCGGAGGTACCGGCGGTTTCTCCACTTCGCCCGCCAAGTCCAAAAGTGGCCAGCGGATGGCGTAGTTCTTATGCATAAAATGTGATGTAGAAATGGCTTCGCCACTGCACGCATAGTACTGTGGATCACTCCAACAAAACGGGAACCGCTGTAGTTACCATGCTCCTTCCACCCCACCGTACCCTGCGAATGCCGGTGGTGTACGGCGGTATGCCTACCCACCAGCGCGTGCATTGACTCCCGCGGGCACCAGATTGTCATGGGTTTCAACACAGGACGCGTGGCGTGTGCACGGTACCTCACGGGACGGCTCGTGGGACAGCTGGACTTCCATCCCGGGGAGGTGACCGATGTGGCGGGTGTGTGGAACGATGCATGCGGGTGAGAAGCGCGAAACAGACACCCTTCATCGGGCAGCGTGCAGCTAGCTGCTCTGTGACGAAAACCCATCGAGCTCAAGTCCTTTCCGTCCTGGCCCTCTACGCTTGCGTCGTATTACTACGACATCAGCCCCTCCATCTTGAGTTTTGCGACGTATATTTTGTTGTTGGTCGTATTGTTTTTGTCATTGCCGTTGTCGTCGTCGTCGTTGTGACCTTTAGCCTTTGCTTCTGTTGTTGCGGTTCATTGTGCTTGTCCCTTCACGGAACCCGTCTCATCTCTGCCTAGTGCCCTTCTTGAGGACTACAGGCACGGTGTTGCTGTCTGAGAAATCTAACGAGAAGAAGGTGTCCATGCACACAATCATACCGATGTGTACTCTTTACAAACCACGAGACAACGTACCAAAGAACTCAACCTATTTCCTGCCTCACGTTTCGTCACTTTTTCGGAAAGGGCTCTGGTCTTGTCCGCCTCGGATGCGACTGCGTCACTCCAGAAATTGGCGGTTGATGTTGCGGAACCGAGACGAACGGCAAGTACACGTTCACAGGCACGCGCACTTTTTTTTGTGTTAGTGCTCATGCGATGCGAAGGTCGTTCATGCCCAAACTTGACGTTTGCGAAGGAACTTACCTGATATATTCGTGCGCTCTGAAGGGGGGGTGCGTTCGAAAATATATTTTTCTGAATGGTGTGGATGTTCTTCGCCAAACACGCGCCGCTGCTTTCTCGTGCCAGATCATGGTTCTGGACCCCGCGTTGGAGGCCATCCGCATGGAGAGATCCAACCAGGTGCAGTGGGGGGGGGGGCTCAGTAGTCAGTAGTGCCGGTACGGACCAGACCAGTATACCGGCACTATTCGAAGAACTGAATGAGTTGGTGATGAGTCAGGACTATTCAACCTGTTCTCCTGAGGGCCCTTGTCTGCACGTCGTACTTGTAGGTGATATTTGTCAATCATGATGTAACGCTGTGTGCATCTCAATTTGTTTAGCGTTGTTTCTTCACTGATGGGGTGTTGTAATTGGTTGCGATCACTTCGTCCGCGGGTGTCTTGGACATCGGACCAAGATTTACATGCGGCAGGCATCGGAAAACAAATAGTCTAGCGTTGGAATAGCACCCTATAAAAACAGGTTCAAACGAAAGCAGTCGTTATTATTAGTTTTTGCCGCCACCCCATTCTCCGGGATTCATGTTGCCGAGCAATCGAGAGCGGGAAAACGAAAGGCATGCAAGTCCTGCTCCTGTTCGAAAAAACTTAAGCCGGCACGACCAATTGGTTTCAGAAGAACGAGCGCCGGACGCCAAGACGAACCAGCAATCTCGAAATGTCCAAGAACTCGTAGGAAGAAACAGTTATCCCTGAAACCTACAGTAGCGAGATGCCCTTTGAGAGCAGTCCATGCTAGCAGACCTTCTCCTTGAGGTTGTCGTTTGCCCCGTTCTGGGATGCAAGCAAGTATTGAGGCCTCGGTTTCCGGTTTGCCGTTTCGTCGGAGGTGTAACTGGCAGAGGATGTTCGACCTGATTGCTTTCGTGTAGGCTCCTGGCAGCCGGGTCGGAGTCACCCCTATTTGAAAAACAGCAAAACCTGTCCTTCAGAAGACGTAAGTGTTTCCTTAGCAATGCTTCGTGAAGCGAGGAACAGATAAACTGACTGAACGACCGCGGGCCGTGCTGGAGCCATCTAGGCAAGTATGGCCTAAACCATGGATTCTCTTTTTGATAGCGGGTGCGTACCCAACCCGCGAAGTACCACATATCGCCGAAGACGTTGTTCTACGTACGTTCCCCGTTTCAAACCTTTCATGATTTTCCTTAGATCGTCGAAGGCACGGTGGCGAACGTTGCAGGCGCGGTGAAGCAGCTGATGGTCGGTGCAAAAATCCTGCGCGCGAAGAAGACCTTTCTGACGACGCTCGAGTCTTTTCGAGGTAACTCTCATGCGAAAGGTCGAGATAGAACTACTACAATCGAATGGGACAACCTCGAAACAAGGAGGTTGGTACAGGCAACTCCCCACGTTGTTGGTGAATCTTTAGAGTCCTCATTGGTGGTTTACGGCATTGCCGGTCATAGGAGACGACCGAAGCTACTGGCGCACGTGCTTGAACCGAACAGTACGCCTTGTTTCGTTTGTTCAAAAACCTCGACACCATAACTTCAGGGCGAAGAAAAACAAGCATTGGTTGAGTAGGGTTGGTTTGGCGTCGGGGTGACGGCGTACAGTTGCTCTTGTACAGGGACGGGGCGAGGCTGGCAGCGGAAATTTCCGCCCTGAAACTACGGTACCACAACTGCAGAAGCTGACCCTGCTGTCGGTCGACCGGTAGCAACATTCACGGCCTCAGCTTATCAGCAGTAGTAGTAAAAGTACCACAATGACACTAGTATAGTACTGTAGTACAAGAGACACTGGCCTGCACCATGATCAGGACATGTCGGTTATGACGACATTGCGGTAGCATGTTGCGCTCGTGCAGGGCCTAACTGGAGAAGCGACCCGAGCCGCGGCGGTACGGCTGGAGAAGCTGCAGCATGGAGCGGAGCACCGACAATCACAACGGTCACGGACACCAACAGCAGCACTAGTACGCTGCTTACTCGAGAGGGGGGAGGGACAGATACGCCATCGGGGGTTTCCTCAAATATGGGAGGACAACCAACGGGAGGACGAGGACAAGGACAAGGCGGTAGAGCAAGACAGCCCGGGAAGAGCGACAGGAAAATATTCATCGACGACGACGATAGCAACAGCGGCTTTGGAAACGATAAAACAAGCGAACGTCAGATCGCCGCAAGATCTGGCAAGGGAAACCACGGCAACAACGCAAGAAGCGTCAGAATCGCTGGCGTCGGCGGAGCTATCGCGGAAGACGCCGACTTCACCGAAGAAGACAGGGAAGTGACACAACAAGCGGGCGGCGGCAAGGTCGAAGAGCTGAGGTCGCCTCGAGCAGTAGCTGAAGCACCTGCTGCTGCCTCTGCCACCGTCGGGGTGAGTTGACCCCTTGGTGGAAATCCCTCTCGTCCTTGTCTGACTTCCATCCGGGCTAGTTTCAAGATATTACCACCGACAGTACAATACGACAAATTAGTTGGGGTGACATGACATGTCAACGAAACAACTGCGGTAGGGTTGGGTTCCCTGGTTTGTCCGGAAACGTGGATAGTGTCGGGGTTGGTGCTGCGTATTTATCAAGATTGGTTCGTTTGTCTGATCTGCTTGTTTTGTCGTGTTGACCTTCGAGAGAAACTGCAGTATGCATCGCCTGGCTGGACGGAACATTATTTGTCGCAGGGGATGACACCAACACCGCCTGCGGGGCAGAGACCGCGACCGTCGTCCTCGTCCTTGTTCAATAAGAAGTTCGCCAAGCGCTTCTTGCGCAGCGGCGGCGGCGGGGGCGGCAGCAGCAGCAGCAGGAGTGACAGGCTGCGACAGCGCGATGGAGAAGATCAGGAGAATCCCCTCCGCCGCCGCCGCCGCCGGCACGTTCAAGGCGGCACCGGCGGGGAAGGACAAGGTACGGGGAAATGTACCGCAGGGCATGGCGGAGTGTTTTTCCCCGCTTGTTTTGATGACGACCTTGACAGAGTCGGAAGCAAGCGAGAGCTTCGCAAATCTTCTGTTGGTGTTTTGCTTCCCTATGGGATGCGTGGGACGCTTGGGGCGGCATATGGAACGACATTGGGACATGATGGACGGGTAAACCCTATTCCTAACCCTAACGCCAACCTTGAGGGAGAAACAACACTGGTAGCCCCAAAATGCCCACCCAATACACCCGGCCTATTGGACGGGTGGGACGCCCCACTGGGATTCCCACGAGCCGTCCGCGTGGGACGTCCGGTCGGTAGCGTTGACCCTCCGTTACTGTACAGCTTTCAAGGCATGCCTTTGAATTATGCCTCGGGTGGGGAGGTCCGATCCTTGCTTGATGTGGGGTATCCGTTTCCATGAAAATCGGCAGGACACGACGGCGGTGGAGCCAACAACAAGGGCGGGGGTGATGCAGGAGGGAAGAAAAGCGATGGGCAGGGTGGGGACGGTGGGAGGGGGGGGAAAGGTGCACCGGTGAACATAGGGAGCCGGTTCAGGAGCCACATCACGACCGTGGCCGTCAGTCACATGTACCAGGTACAACCACACATATGGCTAAGAGGAGTCCAGGAGGGGGAGGAGAGGTAGGAAAATCGGCAAAAGTACGTATCTTGCGATGCTGGTGACTGGTCAACGTGCAGCGCGCTACCCACTCACCTTCCTTTCCCGCACTCTTTTTTGCTTCAAACGCACCCGGGGCATACAATCAGGGCTGCCGCGAAACGGAGCGGGACCCATTTCCTTCTTGCAACAACAAGAACACTGCATAACGTACCCCGCTTCAAAGAGGTTCATTAAGCGTAGGTGGCCCTTTGATCTCAATGTTGTTCGCTATGACAACTCCGGCTCCATGACTTCCCAGTCATTTGCGAAACACGAGCCTGAAGGTCATGTTTTGCTACCCTCTCCCTTACACCGTCCCCCGGATTTGTGGTTGTGTCTCTGTTGCTGGGGATGCTTGAGGAGCGTAGCTAGCTGCAACGGGCTCTCTGAATGGCAACGTGATCGTGTGGGATGTGCAGAAGGGGCCGTCTACCTGCGGTCTTGCTACCCTAGAGGCGCACAACGGGTACCAGGTACTGGGGGGCCAAAAAAATATTTGCTAGGGTACTTTGATTCCATGCATGATCACTTTGCTGGGAGTCGTCACATCTAGCTGGCAGTGACCGGGGGCATTGGGAGCGGTCGCTGTGCCTTGCGAGGGAGCTCGCGGTAAGCCTATCCCAACACAAGAACAAAGACGATACGCCGTGGGGTTTGCCAGCACGAAGGTCTCCACTCGGGGAATCGCGGACGTCTATCGTGCGTATGGCAGTGAGGAACAGTGGGCCCTCTCGTGTATGCCTTCACGGCAGAATACAGGAGCTAGTACGGGGGGCATTGGTTGACACGTTCGAAAAAAATAAAATGCAAGGGCACGTACTTTCTTACGAGGCGTAGTCTGCCTTCGAACACACCGCCTTTCCGTTCAGCCTGAATTGGCGAAGACGTGGATACACTTCGTCTCCTAAACAACTAGTTCAGCAGGGTAGAGGGGAGGGAAAAGTGAAGAAGCGAACAAGCAGGAAGTTCAACAAGACATCGTGATTTTGGCTTCTTTCGCCGATTTTTTGCCTGGCCACCGCAGAGGCTTCTGCACCCAAGAGCACTATGCCCGAAACCATGTCGCACGTGCAAGCCCGACATCTCTTCCGGCGTAGCTAACTTGTTCTGAACGCTGCCTTAACGCCGCGCGAGAGGACAGGTAAACAGCATCTGCTTCTTAGAGCCGCATGCCGCGCTAGTCACGTGCAACCTGGAGGGAACAATCGCTATCTGGCGGATGGGCCCCGCTCCCGATCCCCTCAAAGACTATCGCGGCTCGGGCGAGGAGAGCGGAGAACAGGGCTTCGGTGATGACGACGACAGGAGCATCGATGCGACCACAACTGCCGCGGGAAGAGCAGCCCGCGGCACGGGCGGCGGTGACCCTGTCGTTGCTACAATACGCGCGGGCAACAAGGGAAGGAGAAGGGCCACGGGCGAGCGAATGGCGCCTTCTTCGGAATGGCGATGCGTCGCGCTGTTCTTCAACAACAACACCGCTCCGTCACACGCTGCGCCCGCCTTCCCGGGGGAGGGTCTGGGAGTCGGGGGGTGTTCGGAAGGGCAGGAGGTGCCGGTGTCGGCGGCGGTGAACAGCCTGGCGTGGAGCAGCCTCGAGGAGCGACTCTTCACGGGAGACACCGTCGGGTTTGTTAAGGTGGGAAGCAAGGACGCCGAATCAACACCCCGCAATAGCTTTAGGGTGTTGCTATTTGTGCTCTTTCCGCAAAATGAACTCCAGCGGGATCTTTGCTATCTGGACGTTTTCCCCTAGGTTAGACACGCTGCACGGGAGCACGACCGCTTGCAGGAAAGCACGGCGAAACAGTTTGCGAGAAAGATCACAAGACGACGAATTATTGCTACATCTCCGGACCACGTGTTCGATACAGGTGTGGGACATCAAAGGCGCGTTGACGTCGCCAGGAACAGAGGACGAGTCGCGGCAGGTGGCCAAAACCAGCAAGGACGAAATAAGCAAAATGGTTCACAACGACAGCAGCAGTATTACCATCGACAGCAGCACCACTAGCGGCGAGGACAAGGAGAAGGAGAAGGAGAGGAACGAGAACGACGACAAGCAACAGAACAATACTGCCAACGACGACTACAACGACACCATCACTACAACTACAACCATCACCACCACAGACAACCCTGACAACATTAACAACGACATCGACGTTGATATCAATGCCATGGTCGCCATGAAACATGAGGAAGGAGAAAATGAAGGGCCGGAAACCCAGTCGCACCGAGGTTCCGCCCAGTTGACAGCATGGATCCCTGCCCCCTTCATGGCACCGTTAGACGCCAACCTGCGCGATGACCTCTCTTCGATGGGGCCGGCGAACGGCGACGACACCAGCAGCGATGAGGATGACGGCATCGGGATGAACGGAGGGAGCAAAGCCGCAGGCACAAGCTTTTCCGCGCACGGGGAACACTCCACGCTTTGGTCGTCGGAGTTCAGCGAGAGCATCAGCGGTGAAGACTACGGGGACAGGTGGGTGTGGCCTAAGACGATACGCGTTTGGAGGTTGTTTTCGTCGTTCTTTGTGGCGGAAGTTCGCTTCCACGGGAGCCTCTCACTCCGCTGCCCTACTCCGCCGGTATCCCTTGTTCTCGGTCAATGAAGCAGCCGGAGTCTCTCCCCGTGATCTGCCTTAGACGAAAGAAACGCTTACTAGGGAGAACACTTTGTATCGAAGGTGTGCGGTTTTTCTCGTCGTCTACTGCAGTTCAAACCACGATGAAACGGCCATCTGTGGTTTATAGTCCGCTCCGAGGGCGACCCAAAATTGGGCCCATGCGCAATCCAGTACCAAACTCTCAAACTCTACAGTTTTCATGTGTGCTCGGTTCACACACATCAAAATGCTTTTGCTCGCGTTCTCACGCACAGTTTCCCTGTACCAGTCTGTAGGACGATTTCGACAATGCACACTCGGTGTATCTTCAAGAACGAATCGCCTGCAGCCGGTGTGTGCTTACGTTCATGTGATTACTCACCACGAGAAGCGCAAGCGGAAAAAAATACTCCGAATGAAGTACGAGAATTATACCTCCGGTCATCCACGAGCTCGTGAGCGCCCCTCGCTAAAACCTGCCAGGTTCGGGCGCGGCATAGGCCTCCAGTTCGTCCGACGGATGGATGAATGGAGGCCTGGTAAGGAGGGTCGCCAAGAGGTCATCAAGGTCAAGGTGTTCGAAGGTCAGAGCGTTTCCTTTCGGGGCGTGGCGATTGTGGGTCAAGATCGCCCCCATCCGGGTGCCGACAACCACGGTCGTTATCGTGGAAATGGACGACGGCCGACGACGAAGTCTGGCACGGTGATCGTGGCCACGATAACCCCTGATAAGCTCGTGAGGTTCTGGACCTCCGATGGGAACCTTCTGGGAAGCCTCGACCAGGTAGGCGTTTGGGCGTCCGTGAGACTCGCGTACCCTCGTATGTACTCCGCATGTCCGAATCACAGGCTACGTACTTAATCAAGACCGGAAACGTCCTGATTGGGGCTTGAAGTCTTCCCTCTCCCTCTCCCTCTCTGTCCCTTCTTCTCTCACGCTTTCTCTCTTCCCCTCGTTTTGGTAGCTCTATTTTTCTCCACCCATCATTTCTTCTGGATCGATCGGCGTCTAGGACTTGACCGTCGGTGATCATTCTGGTCGAGGCGATGCTCTCTCGGAAACTCGTGGCATTTGCTCGATCGTATTTGTTCGACCAAGAGTTCATCTCTTTATGTGTTTTTCTACATGTAGTTTCTACTTATAGTTCCACCAACGTGTCAAGTTTTGAATTGTAGTCGCGCTGACACAGCAATTGGCAGCTATCTATGTGGCTCTCCCACCGCCTAGTCCGCCCCCCTTTGGCTGCGCGAGCATACCAAGAGTCCCTTCACGAAACAAATGACTGGCTCCGGAGAAGCTTCGCCCTTTGACTAAACCGATATGCGGTCGCATGCCGCACCAATGCCATCTTCGTCCCCGTCGGTTCTTGCATTCCGTTTTCACCTTTCACAATACGCGTCAGGAGTATGTCGCTTCCCCGCACCAGACCATCGCGGCGCGCCCTCTCGCTTCGTGGCGGATGTGCGTCGGGGCAAGTGATGCTTCTGCCGGCAAACCCGACGGCGATGACTGCGACGGTGCCGACGATAACGCCAGCACGCCGGTGGTAGCGCTGACATCTCCGAATAGTGCTGGAAAAGAAAGCTCCAAAGGACACGCGGGCAGTAGAAACGTAGGATAGCACTTCGCGCCAGCCCGATATACTCGGGCACAGCGTAGATACCTATGTTGGAGCAGTCTGTACATGTTGCAGCACCTGGTTGATTCATTCGTAATAGTTACATTGCTTCCGGCGAGAACACGTTGAACACGCCGCAAAGTCGGTCTCAATGGCAGGTGACAGAGGCGCGTCATTAGTGACCCTAGAGGTGTCGGCTTACCGTCTTTTGAAAGACGGTGCTACGAAGCACTTTGCGGTCGACTGCGTCCGCCAACACGCCATTCCCATGAATTCCCCTTTGGCCGCCAAAATTGCACTACAATATTCGGACGGAGTGCGTCGTAATGTACGCCGCCAGGCCAACCGCTGGCAGGTGTGCCTGAAGGCAAGCGGTCGAACGAGCCACCGAAAGCTTTGATGAACCTCGACTACATATACCATCGTTCGGAACGTAGGGAATAATAAGTATAGGCGGTGAAAGACCCTAGCCGACGTCCCGAACGGCGTTAAGGGGGAGAACGCAACCTTTGTCTTGATGTCAATCAAGTGTCGACTGATTTTGAATGAAACGGCAAGAGCGCCAAATGCACACGAGGCGCACAAGACCAGTCGAAAGGCATCGGGATCACCAGAAATCGTCGATTCTCGCACTGGGCGGTATTAGAGGCTACTCAATATATACAATCATGAGTATACACCTACCTCTACACGCCCCCTGTGAAGTCAAGAAAAAAATTCATACCGGCCAAAATTCAAGTCAAGAGCCAAAAAAGTCAGTTTATTAGCATTTTAACTGCACCTTAGTACTGATGTCACTTGAGGACACCCTATAGCAGTGGGGAGGGTGTGTTGGCGCGCTCAGGTCTTCTTCTGCGGTGGTGATAACAAGAATCGTTTGTACGGTGATGACCAACAATCTCTGTAAATCTCTGCAGAATTCGACCGACACCCGGTGTCTTGTACTGCTCGTGCTCGCCGCCACCAACCCAAATCTCCTCAACTGCGGGTTGTCAGCAGTAGCTGATGTCACTAGCTACTACTGACGATCCGCCGTTCAGGGGTTTCGGTTCGTGGAGGTGAGCACAAGCAGTACGAGACACTGGGTGTCGGAGTAATTTGCGGAGATATGGGGATTGTAGGCCATCACTCACTACGGGCGGGTTCCGAGCTAAAGACGAATCACCTTTCCCACCTCGGAGAAGAAAAAAAAAAAAAATTGACTTCGCAGATCGTTCTCAAACGCCCAAAAACGACGTTTAAAAAAAGTTCCCAAAAAACAAAAGTTCCCCTTCAGCCCGAACTTTTTTTTTCGCCGCATTGCCGAACTTTTTCGCCACGGGAATCGTCGCCAATCGATTCCGCTTGGTCGAATTAGGGGGGGTAGAGCCACTCAGAAAGTTGGTCAGACAAAAAGTGGTGGTGGGAAGCGGGCTTGAAAATGCTGCGCGGCCAGGGCCCAGCGGTGACTGCCGCTGGCGAATGTACACGCATCATGTATGCTGGCCAAACAAGATACGAGGTTATCCACAAGTGGTCCCCACACGAACGAGGAATCAAGCTTCGCACCACCTTGTTGGACAGCAAGAGGAAGGGCAGAAAAGCCGCGGAGAACACAGGCTACTGCGAGGCTAGCGAAGTGGTTTTGTCCAACTTGGCCCGCGAAAAGGCTGACGCCATCATGGCGGGCAAGCGAAACGCAGCTCGGAAGAACGGCATACCACAAGGCGGCGGAAGCGGGGGTTGCGGGGCAGACAGGGTTATGTCCTGCCCCGTCATCGCCGCCATCCAGGGTTCGCATGAGGGATTGAGGACACGTTCTTCTGCCACCACCAACCCGGCTGCTAATAACCCAGAGGTAAGCTGCGCGTCCGGTTGGGCAAGTACGATGTGTGGTACTGCTGTAGCACGGGTGCTGCTGCCTGCTGCCTGCTGCCTGCTGCTGCCTGCTGCCTGCT